TTCTCCTTTTTGATGGGGTCTTTGTCTGGTTTTGGGATCAAGGTAATGGTGGCCTCATAAAACAAGTTTGGAAGTTTTCCTTCCATTTCTATTTTTTGGAAGTTTCAGAAGAATAGGTATTAATTCTTCTTTAAATCATCTTTAAATGGTTTTTAAATGGTCTGGGCTAAGTAATCTGCTCAGGTTTGCTTTAGGGAGCTTTTGTTCCCTACAAGCTTTCTGTACAGCTTTGGAGGATGAGAGTGAAAATGGCAGCCTCCTAGGGCGCCTGGGTGGCTCAGTCGTTAAGCGTCTGCCTTCGGCTCAGGTCATGATCCCGGGGTCCTGGGATCGAGCCCCGCATCGGGCTCCTTGCTCTGCGGGGAAGCCTGCTTCTCCCTCTCCCACTCCCCCTGCTTGTGTTCCCTCTCTCGCTATGTCTCTCTCTGTCAAATAAATAAAAAAAATCTTTAAAAAAAAAAAAATGGCAGCCTCCCAATCTCCGCCCCGGAGGAGCTGAGAACTCGGGGCCCCACTCCTCAGTGAGCCCCCAGAGAAAAGCAGTCAGTCACTCCCGTCTCCCCAGTCTCCAGCCGCACTCCGTGACCACCCGGCCAGTGATCGAGCGTTTCTATCTCTGGCACACGGCCCCGTGTGGGGTCTCCAAACCCAGCAGATTCCTGCTATGCGCTCCCGCGCCACTCCTCCCGGGGGGAGGAAGGGGAATCTCCCCAGATCTGCCTCTTGTTGGGTCCCTGCTGGAGGAGCAGGGGCCCAGCTCTGCCGCGGATCACGGTTTATGGCAACCCCGAGCTGAGAGCCCGCTTTTCGGCTCCGTCTCTGCAGCCAGCTTCCCCGCTCCAATACCTGGGAGCTCTGCCACACTCAGGCACCCCTGGTCTTTCTGTGACCCCAAGGATCCTGAGACCACACTGTCCCAGCGAGGGTTCCACCCCCCGCTTAGCCACTGGAGCAACGTCCCTCAGTGGAGCCAACTTCTAAAAGTTCTGATTTTACGCTCCGAGGCTCTATCACTTGCCAGAAGCAGCCGATGGAGGCCCCTTCCCCCGCCATCTATCTTCCCGAATATCGCCTCAGATTCACTTCTCCGCACGTCCTACCTTCCAGAAAGTGGTCGCTTTTCTGTTCAGAGAGTTGTTGCTATTCTTTTCTTCGATCTCCTGTTGAGTTCGTAGGTATTCAGAATGGTTTGATCCCTATCCAGCTGACTTCCTGGGACCAGGTCTCCTACTCCTCCACCATCTTGCTCCTCCTCCTCTTTCTTCATTATTTATGTTCTGCATTGGTATGGAGATATTTAAGTCACAAGTGTTTCTAATGATCCTCTTCCTTATTTTCTCCAGTGAAAATGAATCTTTTCTACTACTGATCAGTCCTTGTTAGACCTGTTATTCTATATTATTTGGATTTAAAATTTTTTTTAATAAACATTATCTCTATCTCTAAACTCCTTTTAAATTTGACTGTCAGAAAACTCTGCAGGTTTCTTTCTAGGTTTTGCAAAATATATTCCAACTTTTCCCAGGTGCCCAATTAGTCTGGAAAGCCTATTTCTATCTCCTGATACTATATATTAAGTTAGGTATTCACTAGTAATATCTCCCTTTTTTTCAACATTTGAGTTGCAAGGATTCTAAAGTCATTTATCACACATTCTATTTTTTTTTTTATTTCCCTTATCACCAAAAATGAATAATGGTCAGTAGTTTCAATGCCTTTCAGGTTTTCTGTCTTCTTAGTAAATTTTCATGCAGCTACAGGTGTATTCATCTTTAATAAAGAGTAAACAAACATCCACCATTAAAACCTTTTCCCATCAGGGGCTTTCTTTTTTTTCCCCCTTTATCTTTTTTTTTTCCCTTTTTTTTTATTATGTTATGTTAATCACCATACATTACACCATTAGTTTTTGATGTAGTGTTCCATGATTCATTGTTCATCAGGGGCTTTCTTAAACATATTAACTCTTCTGAATTTCTAATGCTAATTTTTAAATATGAAAACAATTTTAGTGAGGCTTCCAGTCACAGAATTATGGAACCATAATTAGAAGCCATTGTTCTTTCTGCTATACCACACTATCACAGAACTTAAATAACTTCAGGCCTCAAACTCTTAAAAATCTAGTTAGAGACTAAAAGTAATACACATGGAGTAAATAATGAACAATAAAAGACTATAAATTATATTACACTAAGTTGTAAAAACCATTATAAACTAAATAAGGTCAGTGCAAAAACATGGATACAATAGTGTAGGACAAAGATTTGTACAGAGAGAAGAGATGAGGAATGATGTCATTAAGAAGGTGGAATTTTAACTGTGACTTCAAGAATGGTCATCATTCAGTAGGCAATAGCTTAGAGGAAGGTTTTCCTGGAAAGTTAAGACATATACTAGAAATATCGATGACACATTCCTAAGAGGACACAGCCTAACAAGATCAGAAGGCATGTGTTGTTACCAATGGTATTTTCTAAGTACAAATGACTCACAATATGGTGGACCTTGAGGGTCAGACATTGGAATGAGCATGGCACAGCACAGTGTTTCCCTAACTGAAACTTTACAAGCATAGCCTCAGTAGTCTACGAGTTTTCCACGCAAATTTTTAAATGTTATGTTTTTCATTTATTTGATTATCTAAGCAAAATTTATAGTTGGTGTAGATTTATCCATATGACCAGCTCAATACCAAGTATTAAGAAGAGATTTCAGCACCCACATCTGTGTATGTATGTGATTATATTGGTGCAAATTACTTTAATTATTGAGGGTTCCTGAGAACAAAATAGAAGCTGACTCAATACGTAAGTGATGTATTCACACCAAACAAGGTCTAAAAGGTTTCATAGAGTAATGTATGAATAAAGGTTCTGAAGCAATTCAAATGGAAAAAAAATGATATCACACAGTGACACAGGCATAACAATACAAAAGAGCTATCTCTAAAATCAATACTATATTCAAATGTTAAGCAGAGATTTGGTTTCAGCAAAACATATGTCTCATTAAATTTACGCTAATTGAAATTTTACTAAATTTTCAGTTTTGTTTATATTAAATTTATAAAATTTGTTTTTATTCTTGTATAAGAACTATAAACATAAATGGATTATATATAGCTTTCTGTATATTTATTTTAATTTAATAAAAATAAGTGAAATCAGCACTGACTGGCCATCTAATGAAAAATGTTCTTGTCTTTAAAAACTAGTCTACTTCAGGAACTGGAAATGTATAGCTTGATTTGAGTGGTAGTTACCTGGATGAACATATATTAACAAATTCACTGAACTGAACACTTAATATTTGAATACTTTACTGTAGCTATATCACACACCTCAATGATAAAGTGAAAAAAAAAGCCCAAACAAACAAAAGTAGTCTGTATATTTCCTCTGTTTGAGGAAATATTGGTACAGCAGCAATAGACAGGTTTAGCTCCTACTTGCAATTCTATCACTTAGTAGCTGGGTAACCTTGGACAGACTTCTTTACCAGTATAAGCCCCATTTTGTCCAGCTGTAAAATGAGGATAAAATAGATTCTTGTAAAGTGTTGTAAGGGTTATAGGGAAATTTTGTAGATAAAATACCAAAACAGACCTAATAAATGGTGCTCATTAAATAATAGTGATAAAAGAAAAGAAGGAAGGGGGCATGGGAGGGAGAGAGAGGGAAAGAGAGAGAAGTAGGAAAGAAGAGGGGGGAAACAAGCAAGGTTTGGTTTAACATGATACATGCATGCATGCATATGCACACATACAACCACATGCACATGCATGATTCTGAAGGTTTTAAGCAAAGGAGGAAGGTGATGAAAGCAGTCCTTTAGAAACTGCAGTGTGACAGTGTTATTGAGGAAGGGTTAGAGTAGAAACCAAAATACAGGAAATCTACTAAAAATTCATCATAACTTGCAACAACCAAATTGTATAAATCAGTAAATTACATGTCCTGCAGTAAGCTTTAAGAGAGCTTCAAAAACTATTCAGTCTATCTGGATTTTTCTCCAAAGTTAAAAAACAAAAACAAAAAACATTTATTTAGTCCTATTTGCTATAGAACTAATGAAAAGCATCATGATTCTGTCTTTTCAGGAACATATGAGCTAAATGGATAGATATGTCAAACAAATCATTAAGGTTTAAAAATTACATATTCATTTTAGATTCAAGTAAAGAAATAATGGCTTTGGATCTAAAAAACCCAGGATATCCATAGTCAGTCCTGTTCAGATGCCAGAAGAAGGGGAGGGCTGTTTCAAATAAGGTGGTCAGTGAAGGTCTCTATGAGAAGATTTCATCCAAGTAGTAGAAGAAGAAGCTAGCCAAAAGGATGCTTGGAGGAAGAACATTCCTATAGAAAGGAGCGAGCCTGGTGTGTTCAAGGAAAAGCAAAGAGCAGAATGAGCTAAAGAAAAGGAATAGCAGAAAATGAGATCAGAAAAATTGTGAGGGATAAGAATTTTTAATTTGATTCTGAATGAGTTGAGAAACCATTGGAGAATTCTTAGCAAAGGAGTGACCTAATCTAACTTGAGTTCTTCAAAGGATTACTCTGGCTACTATTTTGAGACAAAACTGTAGGGGGCAGAAGACAGAGGGAGACAGACAGAGGGAGGGAGAACATTTGGTAAGGGGATTCATAAAAGTAGAAAGCTCACTGGCTTTCTTCTCTTCTCCCAGTAAAAGAGCCACTAAAGAACCACTCTTAAAGACTGAAAGAACCTTGGGGCACCTGGGTGGCTCAGTCGTTACGCGTCTGCCTTCAGCTCAGGTCATGATCCCAGGGTCCTGGGATCGAGCCCCTCTTCGGGCTCCCTGCTCCATGGGAAGTCTGCTTCTCCCTCTCCCACTCCCCCTGCTTGT